TGCATGCATGAGCCCACAGACACCCATGATTGGTCAGTGTCACTGTGATTGACAGGGGAGAAAAAGTATGCCCCTCCCTCCCTGAGAGCATGGCCATTTTTGCTTTCCTCTTCCTTCACTCAGAAGCCTGTCTATGTGCACTATTATTATGCTTATAAAAGTGACGTAAAGTCAACAGAAAAGACAGTTAAGTTGTTAATTGCAACAGGCATATTTTGAAATAAGTATATAGATATAAGCAGCTTTCAGCTGCATTGCATTTTGGTTCTTTTGAGAGCCCATGAGTTTCACACTGTTTCGCCTGTGCTGCTGGGTGGTTTCTGACAGTTTAGCAGAGTCATCGCCCTCAGTTAGTAAGACAGCAAGTACCTCAGGTAATACTACATAATACTAGTAAATCTCACAAGAGCTCTTATTTTATATGGAGTAATGAAAGACTAACATTGAATAAAACCCTTTGCAGGGCTATGTTGGTATGTCATGATCAGCCTGTTAAAAGGTGGACTGGGAGCTTCTATCCCACCCATCAGCCCAATATGGCATTATTTAATGGAAGACCAGGGAGCTTTTACAGAAGGAAGACACTTAAAGTATTTTTTCTGTCCTTTACAGTACCACAGACCTGCATTAGTGTGGGAAAGGGTATGAGATTTATGATACCTTCCAAGTAAGGAACATTGTTCACATGGTCAAACCTTATGGCAAATGCACATATGGAAGTAGGGATCGCTGCATCACTCTGCTGGGAAAACACAAGGCATTTTATATCAACAGGGTTCTGTCTTAAACATAACAGATTTCTTTAGATTTATTAGTTTAATAGATGGTGTAAAGCACGTACAATTCGGTATGCAAGGATCTCTGTCATTCTCTGTCAACACTTTTTTTGTAGTAAAGAACAATAATTAAAAGTAAAAGATGAATAGTCAATTATCTTTAAAAGTCAAAGCAAGAAAAAAAAATCCACATCCATTGAACCCACCTGAATTGTAGAACAGAAAAAAAAATCACTCAGCTCATTAAAAACAATTGAACTAAAAATTTGCATCAGATTCACAAAAGTTTCAGAAACTCTGATTTTCTTCATATTCACCTGTAAATAGGTGAAAAGACAAAATAAAAGAAAGTGATCACAGAGCGGAAAGCATAGAACGACTACTAAACTGTCAAAAAAGAGGCAAAAGTGGAAGTACTTTTGACTCACGTCTACAAGAATAAAAAAATTATTATTTAGCAGCATAAAGAGCAGAGTCACAGCTCCTGAAAAGGCCAAAATATGGAGAGAAACCAAGAGTCCTCACTGATGCTGTCTTAAAAGCAGGAGGCTATGCTCAGAGCGGTAGAGGACATTGCAGCAACTGTAAGAGACATGAGTTCAAGTTTAAAGAAAATATGTAAAAAGGTGAAAAGAAAGGTTGCTGTGTAAATGTCAGGAACCTTTGCTTTACAGAGCCAGATCCTCACTAGGCTTTCGTTTAGGGCTGGAGGAGGAATGTGATGTGTCCGGGAACAAGCCGGATTATGGCACACAGCACACTAGGGAGTATATGGCTCATTGTAGGTTGAGACATACCAGATCGGTCACTTTTCTCTCTTTTGAAACATGGCAATAGAAAATACAAGCACAGACGAAACTTGGACATTCACAGGAATGATGCAGGTTCTTGTTGTCAGCTAAACTAATGCTGGCTCAGAAGCGTTGCACAGCATTAAAAGTTGAGGCAAACGGATCTTATAAGCTAGTTTTCATCCTCTGAAAAAAAAAATCATCCCATTCTCTAAATACCCGTGCCCTCCTATTTGCTAAATCTTCCAGTAATATCAAATCTACCATTTACACCACCTCGGCTTATGGCTACCATATGCACAGTCCAGCCCGCCCTTCCTTTATACGGCTTCTCTTTATCTTTTGTATATTCAATATTTCTTAAGCGTGGATTTAAAAAAATATTAAATTTGTCTGTGTAATTGAAATAAATAACTGATTTAAACTTGACAGCATAATCCATATATTAAAATACAGTAATCAATCCGATCCAATCATTCATTAGTCTTCTTATGCATAAATTTACACACACTCAGGAGCACAAGTAAGATATGAACGTTTTTTCAGAATTTTACGGGATTTTCATGAATACCACGTTTCTTGTGCAAACACTTATATGCACGATTTATGAATAAATCGGTTCGTATCCAGCTTGATAAATGAGACCCAGTGTATAGAAGTTGAGATTCCATCATTCATCTGATTGGGACCTGTTTTTAACTGGTCAGACAGCATCTAACAGATCTTAAATTGCTTTTGGTTTGATTTTTAAAATAATGTGTCTAATTGACATTTTAGACCCTTTAATTTTAGACATTTTAATTGACAGCGTGCCACTGAGTGGAAACGTTACCACAGAGTATTTGTGTATAAACACTGCCCTCTGATGAGGTGGTATTTTAATTGAATGTGTTCCTGTTCATTAAAGATGGGTTTTTTTAATACTGGATTGGTGGTAATGGAATGAGGGCGGTTGTAAAACTGTCATTAGAGGAAAGGCACAGTACAGTGACACAGCGCTGCGGGTGGCGAGAGCAAAACAATGGGGAAGCCATTAGACATTTCCACAGATGGAAGGCCCTTGTCTGGCTGGCGAGCACAGAGGTGAAAAAGGCTAGAGGGGGAAGAGCTGCCTGGGGGCACTGGTGTGAGGTGGAGGTTAAGTAATAAATCACTCGAAATGAGGAAACCTGTTGAGGAGGAGCCTCTGAACTCCTACTGATTGACCATCCTTTTATCTCTTAAATCACCCAGCAGGTCAGAGTTCATCCATGTAGAATGAGGATGACTATCCTAGCACATCTCATACCCATCAAATATCTTTATAAAACCACTCTTAAACTGGAAACTGGAATGGAATGATGTAATGTATGTCAAACCTGGACTTATGTATTTATGCTGTAAAGTTTTAAATTACAAGAATAAAAAATAATGGAATACACCAGTTTTAATGCATGGTGTCCTACAACATTCATCGAATGAAGCAGCCAACACTCAACATTCATCGAATGAAGCAGCCAACACTCATTGCCTCAGGCATTTCCCAAAGAGAAAAGCTCACAAGAAAGTCCTGTTTCACAGAGACTGCAATGTATGCAGCTATTCAGAGTGCACTCGTAAGCCATTTTCACAAAAACCCTGGACAATATCAGTGTATCAGTAATGTTCAGGCTTCGCATCATTCAAACTTACAGCCTTCAAAGTGGTGTTTAAACAGGATGCAGACATTCACATTCGAAAGTTATGAAAAAAGAAGATGTGAAAGTCCCATTGCACTTGTTTTTGTTCCTGTTGTCACTTCACTCTGCTAATGTTTTAATCCTTGCTTGTAATGTATTGGTTTCTGTTCACACATAAGGCTTCAGATAATTTCCCAGGAATTCTGCTAGGTCTATTCCTGCGTCACTTTTCCCAGGCTTTCATCTGTTCATGCTTAACCCTTTCTTGATAACTAGCTGTTAGTGAGTCCTGTGTAAGTGTGTGAAAGGCTCTTGTGGTGTCCTCCAGGTAGCTGAGGGCAGAGGGAACTGCACATGGCACAGAAACCCCACACCGTGCATCATCCCCCAGGACAGAGAGAGCATTTTCCACACCATCTTTGCGTTCTTCACCAAGTCTGGCAGGAGGGTCTTGGTAAGCCAAGAATGAACCCTAACCCTTTCCTGTTCCTGAGAAGTCAATGTTCTACTGAATGTTTTTTTTAAGGGACAATTGAGTTTAGAGATATTTATCTAGCCTGCTATATGGTTTCCATGAGCTACATATAAATTTAAGACTTGTTTCTTTTAAACCATCATATAATATAGTACCACCTTCCTAACTGCAGTTCTTGTGTTGAGCAGAGTGTGTGTGTGTGTGTAATATGATGGTGTCCTCTGTCTACAGGACTGTGACCGGCCAGGAAGAGCCTGTCTAACCATTTCCTGTAGCCTAGGATCCCAAGCTAAAGACGAAGCTATAATTATCGATGTGCAAATGCTACTGAACACTGAAACACTTAAGAAAGTAAGATCTTTCTTGACCAATAATAATCAGTATGTTCACCACCCAAAAAAGTGCAAAAGTACAATAGTCTTCTATGAGATACTTAACCAACATCATGTCATAATGTATGTACTGTATATTAGAGTGGATTGGCCAGGTTTCCATCCAAATAGGAATAAACGTGTCCCAATTTGTGTTTAATGCAGGACAGCTCTTCGGTTATTCAGTTTGTGACACGAAGTCACGTCCAAGTGGACAGCCGAGCTATGGAGGTGTCCAGCGGCCTACCAGAGGACATTTCTGTGAGTAGCAGTCTATTATCAGTTCTGTTTTTAAAAATATTATAGTCAGCATTATGTCAAGGCAGTCCATTTATACTCTGCACACTTACTGAATTGCTTGCTGCGTGACATTGAAGAGAAAGCTGACACTGAAAATTCTGAGTCATGACCCAGGTGCTCCAACACTCTCTAAAGCTCTAAGCACAATCAGATTTTAAGACCCCAACCCCCAAAATTGTTCTCAGATACACAAGGCTAGAGTTGCTCTTTTACTGGTTGAAGGCTAATCCCAGGAGAACTTGCGATGTGGTGATGGTGGAGGTATGAATGTCCTGGAACACAGCACAGCTCTCAGCTGATTGAGTTGCTGAGCCAGTCATGGGACCCTGAACCCCAGCACTACCAAACATGAAGTAATTCAGGATAGTACTAATAAAATGGGCCTGTGTCCAGCCCCTGTTCCCCAGCTCTAAGAAAGTAAATGGTCATGCCCCTCTGTCCCAAGGCAGTCTTTTTCATTAAAGTGAGTGGATCTTTAGAAATGAGGTCCTCCTAACATGTGCATTCTTTACTTCCGTTAGCTATGTCATGTGCTATTGGCCCAGGCCATCTGTTCATCTCTTTTACAGCAATAGCAAAGTGCACCAGCTGTTTGAAAATCCCCGGTTTACCTTAGCTTCATTTTGGGGTCCCTGGAGAACTAGTGGTTAGGCCAATGGCGCTCTCACCGCCGTGGCCGGGGTTCGATTCCCGGCTGGGGAACCGACTCCAGCCACTGGGGTTGCACATGATGGTGCACTCCCAGTGCCAGTCCCAAGCCCAGATAAATTTGGGGAGGGTTGCATCAGGAAGAGCATCCGACGTAAAAACTGTGCCAAATCAAATTCGCAGACCAATGATCCACTGTAGTGACCCCTAACGGGAGCAGCTGAAAGAAAAACAACCAGAACATTTCATAGCTTCATTTTAGTGTCTCATTATCTTTGCATTTAAACATGTCAATCTGACCTGAACAGATCACAAGATCATACTTGGTTTGTTTTAATTTAATATATATAATTTTGTAAGTGCAGATCACACCCTCAACTGAATGACTCACTGTGATTGAGACTGTGGTACTCTGGCTGGAATTCTGGGTAGCGTTTGCTCTGTGCTAGATAGCCAGGCCCCCAATGAAGACTCTTGGGTAGGAGTTGTTGAATAGTAGTGAGGAGACGAGGAGGTGGTGGGGCAGAAACATCATCATTAGTGGAGAAAGATGGAAGAGATGACAATTTATAGGAAGTTATAGTTATAGGAAGAAGGTGGATGCCTGGTCTTTCCCTCCATGAAATTCTGCCTAGAATAGTGCAGATTGGCCAACTGTAGAGGTTTCTATTTTTGAATCAGTTGTATCCAATTCTCACAAGCCATGCAGCATTGACGTAAACTGGCAACAGTGTTTTGTACTGGTTAGAGATGGGGAAATGTGACAAGCAGTGTTTCAGGGTTGGATTTAAAACTCTATTTTTCTTACTGCGTTTCAGGTTAAATTCTTCCACATTTTAAGGTCACAGACCATATATTGTGTGTCAGTAGTAAAACACGAGAGATTGAGTGAGTGAGAGAGAGAGAGAGAGAGAGAGAGAGTACATGGGTCTCTGTTGGAAACCCTTGAGAATGAGTATATACTATAATAACTATGTATAGTATTTATGAAAAACTAGTATAACATACAGTATATTTCAGTTCCCTTCAGTTAATAGTGTTTTCTTTTCTTATCTGAAGTAATGCACTAAAAACACAATGCCTTTCTTCATATCTTTTGATGGGTAAAGTTGCATCGATGAGCTGATAAGATACATCTGTGCATTTATATATAATCATATAAAATATATATTTTATAAACATTAAATATGTTTTTACATTTGTTGGATGTATTAAAACCAGGCAGCCGTGCGATACGTGATCCAGACACTTCATTCCGAACACATGACTGTGGTCTGCAGTGAAATCTAAATATCAGATATTTTGTCTTAATTAAAAGCCAGCTGTGACTGTCTAAGGTTGTGATGGGCTTTTGTTATTAGATATATCATGTCTATTAAAAGAATATGTGAGAATCTGTGTATGCTTTTGTCTAATCTTCCTTTGTTACATTGCAGCTGGTGTTTGAGGCACTGCACAGTCAGGAACCCAGGGGTTACGTGGTGGGCTGGATCATTGCCATCAGTCTGCTAGTGGGGATCCTCATTTTCCTCCTGCTGGCTGTGCTGCTCTGGAAGGTATTGTTTTAGCCTATATAACCCAAATGATTGACTAAGAGCAAACAGTCTTGTGACTCTGGGCTTTAGTCATAGTCACGGTTATTCTGCTAGCTGCTTGACCCTTTACCTCCTGGCCTGGAGATCCTGTACATTCACAATGCTAGATTGTTGAAATGATTCACAGTGGGCATTGAAGAATGTGAACCATCAGGTCATATACGCCATAGCTAGCACTGACAACACCTGCCCATGCACAGTACACTAGAGAAGTAGTAATTTCAAGATTCAACCTGAATTAAATTGCATTGCCATAACTCAGGCAGCAGCAGATGCTCTCAGGTTCACTGGGGAAACTGTTCAGTCAGTGCAAAAGAAGCTTACCTCATATGTGCTAAGAGTCATTTCTATAGGCTCAGATGCTTTCACAATTTTATAATAATAACGTGGTATTAAATCATGCTGCTTACTCGAATATTTCTCTCTAAGATGATTTAAAGGCATTCTTCCAGCATACTACAGTCCCCGTCCATTAACAGAAAGAGTAGGAGTCTTTCCTTCCCTTTTTATACGCATCCCATGCCCCAAAGGTCTAATGTATACTGTCATTTACACACTTATCTTGTGAAGAGCAGCTTTTGTTGGACAGAATAGCCTAAGGGGCCAGTTGAGAGATCCCATCCTGTCATTGCAACCATGAAAAGGACAAAAGCAAGTGCTCACATTTACAGCATCTCTAAAAACTGATTTCAGGCTTGTTCCCTACAAATTCTTACTTTTATTTTCTTCCGTTTTCCACTGGGAAAAACACAACAAAATCTTGGAATGTTGATACAGGGATACATTTCCCTCCCATTCCCCAACACCCTGAATCTGCCAAAACAAACCCCTTTTACAAGAGCTGCACATATCCAGCATGGAGGAAATTCAGGAAATGCCTGAGGAGAACAGAGGTCTACATCAATAAACAGCGCTCAAAGCAAAGACAAATCCACTGAGTCACCCAAAGAGGAACATCATTTTTACTGCTCTGACAGTTACTGACCTTCACACTGGTTTATTTATCTTTCTGATCATACAGATACAGATTATATGTCTGTCTATCACTCCATCTGTTTAATAATTCCTAAATTTACCCCTGAAAAAATGTAAATGAACATGTTTGGCAAGGCAGCTAATGGTTTTCTAGGGGCCTTGGAAGCAAGGAAACAAGGCTGTAATGCCCTGTCCCAAAAGGCACACTTGTCGTCACACATTTGCACAAGGTTATAGGGTGGTGCCCTATTTTTCACTTCGAAATGGTGCTCATGAGCATCCTCTACGCAGCCTTACTGCACCCTTTAACGAAGTGTGCATTGAAAAAGCCTCAGCAGCAGTCGCTTACCCAAAATTCCATGAGATTGTTAGCAAGGACCAATCGTAGCAAGACAATAAAACAAGAGAAAAAGACCTCCAAAATGAAGTCCTTGTGTTTTGATATTAATTTAACTTGTCATTAATTAGCATCAGGTTTACAACTTTTGTGAAACAAACATAAAACAATTGATTAAATCAAGTATGATTCATTATCTAATCTAGATAGTTACCTAATGAATGTTTATAGTATACACATCATTTTATATAGAGCTACTGCATGCAGTCAGCATGGTGCATCATTTAAATTTGTCAAAGTGATCTTATACAATTTCGTTTTGGTAAAGGGACTGACAAAAAACATAAAGAACCCCATTCTTCATCAGCGTTGACATTTTCACTGGATATTGCACTGCAGCCGATTACTTGATTGTTAGGATATTTCGGCGCAGAACATGGTTGCCTCTGTCAGAAGGTTCAGACTTGGATGTAGACAGAGTTTTCAACAAGATGATGAGGCAAACATACTTCCCATGACCATCTCAGTCTCAGTCAGATTTAAACCCCAGTGAAAACCTGTTAGGGATAAATTCACAGGGATAAATTCACATATTTACAATATATCTTTTTTTGTGAATCCATTTATTTCTGTAAAGCTGCTTTGTGACAATGTCCATTGTTAAAAGCGCTACACAAATAAAATTGAATTGAATTGAATTGTTAGAAGAAGGAAGTCCATGTGCACAAACCTAAGAATATAAAGGCGCTTAAAATATTCTGCCTAGAGGAAAAGACCAAAAGCCTTTACAAGCGTCTCCAAACTTGTTAGACCTTACAAAATATTATTCTCTCCAGGACAGAAGTCACCCAGGGTAGAAAATACTTGAGTAATTCTACGTTGTTACTATACTTATGTATTATTTTGGCATATTTACACTTTGCTTGAAGAAAAAAAATTACTTTTTACTCCTTACATTTTTATTTAGACTTTCATTTTACAAGTTCCAAATCCTGTAGGTCTCTTCTCTCATCCAGCCAATGATGCCACACCTCACTAGAATGGGCTCAGTTTAGCATCCAGCCATTTCAGTTTAGCATCCGATCAAGTTATTTAGTGTAGAAAAAATATTAAGAATCATGCCAATTTGTTATAGGCTGTGACCTTCTCATGTTACACAATGTAGTTAGCTACCTGTGTGCATTTGAAAATGAATAAGCCACCAGACTCCAGCGTTGAACCTGAGGATGAAGACCCCTGGCCCTACCTCAGTAGTAAACAAAGACTCATATAAAATGAGGTGTTGAGTAAACAAAGACTCATATAAAATGAGGTGTCTCCTTTACCTCCATAGAAGGCTTGAACTTCATCTAATTTGAAAAAGCATGTAGAGGTACGTTTCGCTAATTTGCTGTTCGGCTATATTTAGTTTTTTTTAGTTTTTTAGGCAAAATGGTGTAGTTGTTTCAAAACAAATATCACAAATATCAGTTTTAGATAAGTACTAAGTAAGTAATAAGTTGCATTTCACACGAAAACATGACCTTAACTCAATTTCATCAGGTAAAAACATTTACCTTTTACTTGCGTACATTTCAAACTTTTTACTTTCACTTCAGTACATATTTGGGCTGGACACTTCCACATTTACTGAAGAGTTTGACACATTATCTATATATTTTTATTAAGTATAATTTCTCAGTACTTTGGCCACTCCTGGCTGATCATTTTGAAACTAGTGTTTTATAGAAAGAAATTGCACTACAAAGAAAAAAAAATGTGCCAAAATATCACTTATTGCATTTTTATTCTTAATGATTTTGGTTTATTTTCATGAAGGGTGCTAATAATTCTGGAGGGCACTGTAACTAACTAGGTGAATGCTAATGTTCTTAAGTTAGTGAGTGTTAAGTGAGTGAATGCTGATATTATTAATAAATATATAAATAAAAACAAGCAGTCATACAGCCACTGCAACAGAGGCAAGTGTAGCCTGCATAGTGTTTGTATTTCAGGCCTTACTTCATGAACAACTGTGAGTGTAAACACTTTGTTCACCAAATCCAGCTCATATGAGTTCAGACCAGTTTCTCTGCTTGCAGCAATGACACGTGAATGCTATGGGAGTAACAGTGCCCTTTAGTGCATGCATGCGTGTCTGCGCATGA